ACCTGTCTGAGTATATGAAAAGGAAAGCATAAGTCAACTGAGAGCCTACCTCCGATAGCCTGAAGGAAAAGTTACACAGACCCGTGTTACTCAGGAGCACAAGGAGACTGAGGGACGGCACGGGGTGGCTCCAGGGGGACGGCCAACTGGGCCAGGCGGCAGGCCTCTACCTCTGAGCCTCTGTCCCCAGACCATTGTGGAGGAGCAGCTGGTGCTGAAGCGGGTGGCCAACATCCTCATCAACCTGTACGGCATGACGGCGGTGCTGTCACGGGCCAGTCGCTCCATCCGCACTGGACTCCGAAACCATGACCACGAGGTGAGCTGCATCCGCCCGTACAGGACAAGAACGGGTCAGATCCACTAGTTTGCTGGGTCAGGGCGGGAATCAGCAACTCACTGACTAAGCCAGTCCTGGTGTTCCATTCCAGTTTACTGAAGCCCAGGGCTGGGGAGGTGTGGGGTTGGGTGCCTAGGGAAGGAAAGACTACAGTGCCAGTTGGGGGTCACTGACCATGGGTGAGTCTTGAGGATGAGTGGAAGTGATGCCCAGAAGGCTATGTATGCTTGTTCTGCCAGGGCCTTGAGAGGGACCGTGGTGGTCTGGAGCCAGGGCTAGCGTCTTTGGTTTCCTGCCTGAGAGAAGAGAGGGGAGTTAGTGACGGGTCCACACTCCCATAGCCTCCCCCACCTCGCCATCTGTCGGCTTTGTGCATTCCTCCCTTCACCAGAAGAAGGCGCTTCTATGTACATGCCTGGTTCCGAGGGAGCACACCAACATGGATTATGTCATCTACCTCACAGAAGAAGCTGTCCCCTCGGCTGGGAAGGTGGCTCAGTGGTAGAGCACTTGCCTTGCATGCATGAGGCCCTGGGTTCGATTCCTCAGCACCACATAAGCAGAAAAAAAAGCCGGAAGTGGCGCTGTGGCTCAAGTGGTAGAGCGCTAGCCTTGAGCTAAAGAGCTGAGGGACAGCGCCCAGGCCCAGAGCTCAGGCCCCATGACCGGACCCAAAAAAAAAAAGAAAAGAAAAAGAAGAAGCTGTCCCCAACATTCTGTGTAGGTGGCTCTTGAGGACAGAGTGAGTTTGAGTTAGGGCTGAACATAGAACACAAAACTGACTTACAGGCTAGGGCTGAACCCAGCTGCCAGGAAGGAGCCCTGCCAGATTTCTCAGAGTTCAAAGTTCAAGCCAAAGCTCTTAGCAGCTGTCCTTTTGTGACCTCGGTTCTGGCAGGTTCTGTTGGCCAACATGTTCTGCGTGGAAGCTTACTTCCAGAACCTCTTCAGCCTGTCTCAGCTGGACAAGTGTAAGTGGGTAGTTTTGGGAGGGAAGCCAGTCCAGACATCTGTCAGTGGGCCCGTTTCTAGGCCTTGTTTGCCTCCAGGGCCTGCTAGCGGCTTATATGCAAGCAGGGATTGCGCTGCAGATGGAAATCAGCCTTCACACAGCCCTCTGTGTGGGTCCTGCTGGGTCCGCCTGTGCCTGGCCTCCTCTTGCACCTTCCCAAGGAAGGTGACGAAGGAAAGGGAGCAGACATTATACCTGGTCAGAAGACAGCCTCCCTCCCTTTAGCCTCTGAACTTCTGCCAAAATAAACTTGCAGTTCTCTGCAGAGAACATGGCCCTGCAAAATAGGAGGCTTCAGCTTGTCTAGAGTGTTGTTCCATAGGTCCTGACCACATCTGGGAGTGTGTAGCTCGGGGTCTTCCTCCAACCCTTAGAGTTCTGGCAGCCTGCCTGGCTTAGCCCTCTCATCAAGAAATGGTGGTTAGGGCTATTAGAGCCATGCTGAAGAGGGTGGAATGGATTCACTGTGGCTCTGGGAGCTGATCAGGGGCCCCAGGCAGCTGGCAGGACTTTTCAGGCGTGGGGGGAGCATTTATGAATGGCCTTCTCCACCCTCATGCTCTGAAAAACCTACTAGGTAGTAAGACCTCTATCTGCAGCTCAGAATCGAACCTCAGAGGAGGTGGGGCCCAACTTTGTATTGCCTCCTCTTTTTCCTCCCAGATTCTCCAGAAAACATGGATGAACAGATTAAGAAAGTGTCCCAGCAGATCCTCGAGAAGCGAGCCTACCTGTGTGCCCACCCTCTGGACAGAACATCATGAGACAGTCCGTCCCTACACCAGATGTCCTAGGCCCAAACTGATGGAGACCTTGAGGCCTCACCTAAGGCTTCTCCTGCCCGGAGGGAGTCTCAGATTTGAACCTGCCAGCGTCTGTCTGCTGAGTACAGCTTCTGAACGGATGTGAAGAGAAAGGAGTCACGCATTACTGGCACTGAGTGCACACTGAGGGTTCTGCAGGTGCCATGGTGGAAACCGGGGTGTATGCTGCCACCTCCTGCTTGGGGCCTGGAAAGCTGCTTCTACTAGACTCCATATTCCAGAAACAGCTAAATGTGTGCATACCACTCATGGGAACTAGGAATAAAATATACCTACTACCTGTGTCAGGAACCATTCAGTTAACGAAAGAAAGAAAAATGTGCTATTTTGTGTGTCCCTTCTAGCCTGGCTGTGGAGCTTATATTACTACTTATGATTTGTTTTGTTGTTTGTCTGTTTTGTTGCCAGTCCTGGGGCTTGAACTCAGAACCCGGGCTCTGCCCCTGAGATTCTTCCCCTCCCCCACCCCACTCCCTTTAAGGCTAGGGCTCCACTACCTGAGCCAGTTCTGGCTCTTTCTGAGTGGTTTACTAGAGATGAGAGTCTCACCGAGCCAGGAGCTGGTGGTTCACGCCTGAAATCCTAGCTACTCAGGAGGCTGAAGTCTGAGGATAGTAGCTCAAAGCCAACCCAGGCAGAAAAGTTCTTGAGCCTCTTATCTCCAATAAACCACTAGAAAACAGGAAGTGGAGCTGTGGCTTAAAGGGGTAGAATGTTAGCCTTGAGCCAAGCCCTCAGTTCTAGCCCCATGACTCACAAAAAAGAAAGTCAACAGATTTTTCTTCCTGGGCTGGGTTCAAACTGATGATCAGATCTCAACCACCTAAGTAGCTAGGATTACAGGCATGACCAACCAGCACCTAATTCAAGTTTGTGTCCCCCCATCTCTCCCCGCCCTCCCTTCCCCCCCCCCTCCGCCCAAATCCTGGGGCTTGAACTCAGCATGGGCACTGTCCCTGACCCTTTTTGTGCTCAAGGCTAACACTCTACCACTTGAGCCACAGCACCACTTCTGGCTTTTTGTGGACATGTTAAGAGTCTCATGAACTTTCCTGCCCAGGCTGGCTTTGAACCACAATCCTCAGATCTCAGCCTCCTGAATAGCTAGGATTACAGGCATGAACTGCTGGCACCCAGCTAAAATTGACTTTCAATGGATACCAACATGACCCCAAGAATCCCTTTGATGATGGCTTCTCTTTAGTTTTTGGTGGTCCTAGAGTTTAGAACTCAGAGTTCTGTGCTTTGCCACTTGAGCCACACCTCCAGACCATAGCACTTAGCACACACAGTCCTCGGCGCACACAGCCCAGTGCTCAGTACACCCCTTTCAATTGACTTGAAACACTGCATTGCTTGGAGTGTAACAGTAGTGTGGTTTTGGGTTTTGTTTTTTGGTTGGCCTCTATTTCTACAAAAAGAACGAGCAGACATTTTTTTCTGGTCAGTCATGAGCCTGAACTCTGGGCCTGGGTGCTGTCCCTCAGCTCTTCAGCTCAAGGCGAGCGCTCTACCACTGGAGCCACAGCACCACTTCTGGTTTTCTGAGAGGTTTATTGGAGATAAGAGTCTCATGAGGACTTTTCTGCCCTGGCTGGCCTTGAACCATGATCCTCAGCTTTCACCTTCCAGAGTAGCTAGGATGACAAGCATGAGCCACTAGCGCCCAGCTTCTACAAGAGTTTTGATAACTAATCTTAAAAAGGGGGAAGTTAGGGAGAAACAGGTAGGCTGTATGCCACCACGCCTGGAATGCCAGGCTTCCCTGGCGTGGGAACTCTTCAAGCTGCCTGTCTCTGGCAGCATAAACCTTTATGACCAGGTTGAGAACTCTTGCAGACTAGTTTTTCTGACACATATCTTCACCTGGCTCTGGGCAGGCTGATAGTGGAGCCCAGGGAAGGAGAATTCTAGCCTGAGAGTGAAGCCATGTCAGGGCAAGTGCAGAAACACATTCCAGAAACTTCTTAGCAATTCTCCCTACTTCAGGAAGGTGTTACAGTGTTACCAGCTGTCCTCAGGAGTAAAGACAGGAAATATTACCCTTGTTTTGATTGCATCTAACTTTCTGGGAATCTCTTTTTGCTAGAGAAACACTTCTGTCTCCCTGAACAAAGTGTCTGTGTTCTATATCCACTTTTAAATGATCCTGAGCATCTTCCTAAACAGGATGAAGGAGACAAGAAAACTCAGGAGTATTAGTGTAGCGAGCTTCATGCTGCTTTTCTCCCTGGGGGACTGGCAGTATCTTAGCCTAGAAAGGATTTAGAAGACACCTGTGAGCCCTTGCTTCAGCTCTGACGGGCCCAGGGGCTGTGGTGACAGCTCTGACACCAGCCTCCCACGCCCCACTCCTCCTCCCCCCTTGTATAGCCATACCCACATCAGGGGGAAATGTGCTCAAAATTACACAACGACTATCACACATGGGACTAGAACTCAGGCCTCCTGTTTTCCAGCTGTGTGTATAACAGGCAACAGACCAACCCTGGTAACTATCTAGAATACAGATATTGGCTGCATTCTGAAAACAAGTAGCTAAGAGTAAGGATGCGGTGAGCCAGAGCTTTGCCTGCCAGCACATCAAGAGTGTCAACTCAGGAAGGTGCTGTCTTACCTGTTACAGGCTTTGAAACTACAGGAGGGGGCAGCTCGATGAAAGGTGGTGGCTTCTTGTACAGATCAAAGTCTAAGTGGCGCTGTTCCCAGCTCCACCTGTCTCGATCCAACACAGGCTTCAGCACATTAGCAAACAGTTCATTTGCCTTCCACTCCTAAGTCGGGGAACAGGTGGGTTAGGAGGAAAGAGGTATGTGAAGACCCCTCACCCCGGGCCCTGCTGCCCGCTGTGCACCTCATGCAGCCCTCCGATGGTGCTCAGGCTGAGAGGCTGGTGATGGCTTTCAGTGTCACTCTGAAGCCCCAACACTTGGAACCCATTGGCTGTGAGCCAGGCCTGGCGAGACTTCTTCTGGGCTTTCTTCTTCTCTTCCTCTGAGTCTTGAGGCTGCATGGTAGCTGAGAGGTAATTCTGTGAGTATGTGAATCTCCTTCTCGGCTCCTAGAAATGAGTGAAAAACAGATATGGAGAGATATTTGGGAATCGTGGTGATAGGGTGGAGTGAGCATCAGGATCCCAGGTAAGTCTCAGAAACAGCTGGAAGTGTGATGGAAGTTACCAACACTGGAAACAGTTCACTCTTAAGCTCTGGAACCCCAGAGCAGTCACACGATTGCCCCCCAGTTTGCCCACCCTCCCACCAGTTCTTTGTGTAAGAAGTACTAACAGCCTCCACCAGGGTGACAGCTGCTGTCAATAAGCAGCAAAAAGAATCCTCCCAGAAGTCAAGTCTCTGCGCTCTCAGCATATTTGTCCAGACCTATGCTGAGGATTCTGGCTCACCTTTGAGCAGGAAGGACTTGCACTTACTGTGCAATAGGACGCCTTTCCCAATACCTGATCCCTTGTCCACTTCCCCTGGCTGAGTGGTTTTCTTCTTCCGGGAGATCTCTTACTGACCTGTTGTCAGAGACGAGTTTATTGTATCAGCTAATTACCTTTGTCCTGTTTGGGCCTCTTACCTTGGCCATCTCTTTGTACAGCTCCTTCTTGGCAAGTTCTGCTGAATTCAGGGTCTGAATACTATAGTTGTGCACAGCCTTGTTGGGAGCTGTTGAAATTCTGATCATCTTTACTGTGGCCTTAGAAGGCTTCTTGACCTGGTAGACTTCGGTGATATTTTTCTGAAGAAAGAGAATATAGTTATTACCATACCAGACAGCCAGCTAATGTGCCAGGAGATAGTCTCATACACAGAGCTGTGGGCAGTTGGTTAAAGATTTTTAATACCTATGGTATGTTTTCATTCTAGCAGCTTTTTTTTTTCCTTTTGTGGGTTATGGGGCCTGGTTAATTGGAGATAAGAGTCTCTGGGAAGCCGGGCACCCATGGCTCAGGCCTGTAATCCTAGTTTCTCAGGAGGCTGAGATCTGAGAATCGTCATTCAAAGCCAGCCCAAGTAGGAAAGTCCATGAGATTTTTATCTCCAATAAACCACTCAGGGGGCTGGGAAAGTGGTTCAGTGGTAGAGTGCTTGTCTTGCATGCATGAGGCCTGGGTTCCATTCCTCAGCACCACATAAGCAGATAAAGCCGGAAGTGGTGCTGTGGCTCAAGTGGTAGAGTGCTAGCCTTGAGCTGAAGAGCTGAGGGACAGTGCCCAGGCCCAGAGTTCAGGTCCATGACCAA